TGCGCAGTACATCTCAATCGACTAGTGTTCATAACCTCATCAATCGACTTGTCTAGTATTTTCACCTGACCTCAACGTTACTCACCCGGTGATTCTACCGAACGCGAGAATTGATACGAAGACACCTCCAATGGCTTCATGTCTTCCACTTTTGATGGCCATATCTCACAGCCATAGAAAAGGGCAGAGTGGTGTGCGGCGCAATATAGTCTTTCTTTGATAGGTGGTTGAATACCTCGTCAGTCAGCGCCACAGATGAGGCAAGTTGGCTAATTCCAAACGGGCCTTCTGTGTCTAAGCTGAGATTTCGTCAGCAATTAGCCCATTCGAGCTGGTACAACTCTGCAGGCAAGTGAAGTGGTCAACGCATCCCACCACTTCATTCCCTACCGCTAAACTGGGAGTACAGGCAGAAGACCAATCCTGGGACATCTTACATTTAAAATGCATGCTAAACACATTCAGACTTCTGCTCAACGTGTACAGACCCTTCATTGTGTCGGCGTCTTCACCTAGCAGGACAATATCGACTACATATTCCAGGGCGTAGGTCAATCCCAGTCAAGCCAAATGTACCTAAGGTTATGTCCATTCGTACGTCTAAGATGAAGTTGAGTAGGAATGGTGAAAATGCGTACTTCTGACGGATACCACTAGTTGTCGTCAGTTCTGATGACAGCTCTTCATAACCCCTTACATGGCTGCCTGAGTACCAAAATAGAACTTTAATAAACATTATCTACTTGTTCGGCACTCCTTTCATAATCAGACACTGCCACTACAACTCATCATCAAAATCAACGTAGGACCAGACATTACTGCGTAACGGCCCGAGTTGCCACACCTCATATCAGTACATCAAATAAAAAGATAGTAAAGTAGAAGATGAAAAAAAGGAATATAGAGTACGAAAAGAGAGAAAGGAGGAATGAAAAAATAGTGAGATTCGGTATGTCGTTAAGATGAAGATAATGTGTGTATACATCCGCACCACTGACATAGGTTCTGAGCCATATCGCCTAGTCTCCAACTACTGGTTTCTCTTGTCCCGCTGACCACAATTGGGTAGTCTACACCGCCCCATATGGCTCAAATCAACAGTCAAACACTTCATACACTGGTACCATGTTTTAGTCTGGCCGCCTCGGGCTTTTCTCCAGCCGGAACCTACTTCGGCCAGCATTGTGTGACGAGACAGCGACTAGGCATAGGTAACACATGTCCCAGCCATCTCAGTCGATAAAGGTTCACAACCACATCAACTGACTTACCTCTCTTCTCTAAAACCCTACGCCTGACTGCGTTACTCACATGGTGACGCGACAGAATACGGTTTATACTACGAAGGAAATGGTGGTCAAACACCTGAAACTTCCTCATGTCTTTCACCTTGAATGGCCATGTTTCACAGCCATACAGTAGAACAGAGCGGACTGCTGTGCAGCACACGCGACCATTAATAGACAAACGGATATCACAGCGGCGCCATAGGTGGCGTAAGTTGGCAAAAGCCAGTCGAGCCTTTTAAACTCGTGCAGAGATTTCATCGGCAACTGACCCACCAGGGCTGATCCTACTTCCCAGGTAAGTGAAGTGGTCGACACACGCAACCACTCCACTCTCTATTGTTAGCCACGACACCGCTGGAGACCAGTTCTGGAACAATAATTTGTGTTTGGGTGGCGAGGAATGCATCCGAAACATTCTCAAATTGTCACTTAAGGTGTCCAGAAAAGTGGGCATCTTGTCGGTGTCTTCACCCAACAGGACTATGTCATCTGCGTATTCTAGGTCGACTGAAAATTCTCCTATGACCAGGTCAATTCTGCCTGTGTGGTCAGATGACGAGAAGGAGATCTTCATAAAATTATCTATGATAAAGTCGAATAAGAATGAAAAGAGTGAGGATTCTTGACGGAAACTACTCGATGTACACCACCCATGCGACATCATACCATAGGTTGTAACACCCCCTCAGGTGTTCAAGTAAAGAGCCTTCAAAAGTGTGATGTACTTACTCGGTTCCCCCTTCAGTGAAAGACATTGCCGTAAGACTTCTCAATTGACGCAGTCAAATGCCACATTCAGATCCAGAAATACTGCTAGAGTTGGGCGTCGGTAGGTGTGCGTGTGTTCCAGTCGTCTCCGTTGTGAGTGAATCGCAGGCTTATACTTCTCCGCTATAGTTTCACTAACCATTCTTCCAGTTTCCTTAATGATTAAATAATTCTCTGCTATTACCTATCGGCGCTGTCTTTTCCATCTCTTTAGCCTTCGCTGCCCACCATTAATCGTGGTCATTGCGTAGACTTTTCGTCAGTCTACATTTGAGTTGCTTTCGCTTCTTATTGCACTCAACCTGAGGGAATGGGTTCGCTTACATGCATTAATTGAGAGTAAGCTGCTGACATGTACTGGCTCTTTTTAGCCACTGAGGGTCAGCTACAGTCTTCAACGCTGCTTTTACAGCGGACTCGAGATGGCACCATGCTTCTTCTAGATGAGCGAGTGTTCTGTTCCGATAACTGCCTAGCCAGTCTCTCACTGAAAGCGGCCTTAATGCTCCCATTGTCGAGTTGCACTCACAATGATCTTTTTGCTCAAGTTACGTACGTCCATTGAGACGCAGACATACGCGCTTGAACCAACGCGTGGTCGCTGTCCAAACATGTGCTGAAGAAGTGGGAGTCTTTCACCGACAATCCAGCAATAATTGGTAGCAATATGGTCTATCTGTGTCCATCGCTGAGTTGAGATCGGTGGACACTACATCAGACAATGTCTTTCTTTATGTTTGAAGTTTGTGCTAGCCAAAAATAAACGGTTATCTGAGCATAGCTTTATTAGGCGATCAATGTTGTCTGTTCGTTCAGTCGGGATTCCGAAAATGACACCTAATTGCCTTTTTGTCTGGCTTAGCCTACCCACTTGTACATTGAAATCACCTGCAACAACAACCACGTCTGAAGGTTTGGCTTTCAGACGGAGGCTAGACAGTTTTCGGTAGAACCCATCCTCCACTTCATTTTGGACTACAGTCGCTGGGTGTGTAAGCAGAGATTACAAAAAGACAACGGTATGTTTCACTGTTCCTTTTAGTTCTCCCTGTGCCGTTCAGTCGGACAGCGCGTGGGTGACTGTCAGCTGGGATCCAGTCTAGTAATGAGCTTCCTGCCTTATTGCTTAATGGTATCCTACACCTGCAAGACAATGAGAACTAGCCATCGAATCTTCAAAAACTCAAGGGGTGAATTTCGTGGATTATCCATGTAGGCCGGGGGAGGTTAAGTGAATAACACCACTTGAGTCCTGTACGCACGTCTCATAAACGCAGCATACATAAATGGCCCAAGTTGATAGATTGTTAGCCAACTTGGCTGATGGTGCGGACATAGAAGGCTCCAATATCTAATTTTGAGCGTGGTTTGAGGAGACCAGTAATGCTGTTCTGTGGACTCATATCGTTGTCGAAAGCTGCAGAGCTAAAATAATTGGAAATGATATAGGATCGTTAACTGAAAGATGTAAAGGAAGATTAGAAGGTAAGTACTGCTGGTCATTCAAGGGAAATATTACTCCTGTCACACTCTCGTCCAGTCAGTAGTTCGACTTCCCCCTCAAACCCCCATCATAGCATGGTAATTAACATTAACGCTAACTGCTCTCTGTCCAACCACTATCCAACAAACACCTGGTATGGTAGGACCTCCAGGAAACAAGCTTTCCACCACTATAGCTCGTCCGGTCACTGTGATATACACGCTCGACCACCACGTCAAGATAGCAGCTATTGGTCGGGGTTACTGGAAATCCCGTCTTTAAAGAGTTTCTTTTGCAACTTACCAGAAATGGTAAGAGATACCAGAAAATGCAAGAAGCTGGTATTAGTTGCTTTCTTCAATACTCTGGGATTACAGTATCACCTATAAGACACATTAACATGATTCAGCACGCGGAAAATAAGTTGACATTAAGATTTGTTGTCCAGGTAAAAGGGCATAAATTCTAGTGATGACGACGCGAATTGCATAGAGCGATTTCACAGTTATCCTTAGTAAAGTAATTCAGACGTGATAGAGCTGCAGAAAGAGACTTTGCACTTGTGGCGTAGAGTCCTCTTGACCTTGAGAGAAGGAAAGGATTCCAACGGGGCAAATGCTAGTATGGCAGTGACTAAGATTTCTAATGAGAAGTCTGGAAGTGCATACGCTCTTCAAATTGGGTGTGCAGAATCAGGAGTTTCATAAGTTTGTGATGAATGAAATCAAATCACGTTTGCTATATCAGTACTCTTCAGTATACAATTCCTTGATGGATAGTCCAAAAGAGGGGTGCATCAAGGTACCGAAATAATTTTAACCGATTCAACCAGCTGTTTTTGACAGGTTATACCACAAAGAATACTGTACACCACTCCATGTTACATGATATGGTCAGAAGTAAGTCTACGTAGTTCTTCAAGGGTTTCACCTTTTGATTGTCTTTCTGAATTATAGAGAAATTGTGGGTTAACGAGCGTAGAGTTTCATATGACGTCTTTTCACCAATTAGTGGATTCATTTAAATTCTATTCTATCCCTACACTGTTTTCCATTATTTAAACCATCTCGTATACATGTTTCGAACTTTTAAGGTGACACTGTAGATTAGTTGGATTTCAGACTATTTCTGTCTTTCACGTAGTCAAAACCATAAAGGTAACGAAACGCACTGTTGGATAGTAGGTTCACTTTCATTTTTCTGGTGTTAATAACCATATTATATGTTGCAGGGTGACACTGTCAGACTTCGTCTGTAGATTGTCCTACATATCTTGTGTTTAACTTCTTTTCATAGCGGTGCTCAAAACCAATGTGGTTTTGGTTCCAGAATTATTATTTGCCAAAATTAGCTTTGATAAGACACGCATTTCTTGGTCGATTCCATGGTTTCGACACTAGAACCTAACTAGTATGTTACGAGTCTTATTTTTACTTCATTCAGTGCTATAAGTTGTCCTAAACACCTCTCACTCTTCAGGTTTGAACCATAACCCAATATATAGACTTGCTTATGGTTTGTCTATTATTCTACACTTTGAATACCCCCACACAAAAGGGGTATCACCAAAAAGCTGAGGTAAGATTTATGTGAAGTCAACATTAAAAAGTGAAGTGACGGATTTTTTTGTAGAGCACTTCATTTTTTTGCTTTTTGATGAACTGTTAGTCGTCTTTAGAAAAATTTCAGTCAACTTTTCATTTTAAGATTTTTGGGAGTTAAGTAATTCACTCGTCATTTTGTCGTTTTTAGATATAACATTCATTGGTAGTATGTTCTAAACTGGTTATACATACAGATGGATCAACGAATACTAAGAATTGAGGAACATGTCAACGAAACGTTAAAGGTGGATCTAAAGTATACTGGATTTGTTTTTAACGTTTCTTATAATTAGAAAAGCTTTAGATGCTGGAGATATAGTATACAGCCAGATTTCTGAATACTTAGAATTAAAAAATCTCATCGAAAAGATGAAGGATATTGATGTCCCTCAGACTAATTTAAAAACAAAAGTGAATGTGGGAAGTAATATATACGTGAACGGATTGATGTAAGCCAAAAGTGTTGCTGTTCTTAATGTACAGTTATTCTCTTGAACCTATTGCAGTTGATATCGGTCTTGGGTTTTATCTTGAATGTAGTCATACTGAAGCTTTGAATGTGATTCAGTCACGTATTTCTATTTTAAACGACCGTGCTAACTTGTATAAGAAAAAGGCCAATTCAATTAAGGCTCGAATAAAATTGTTTTTAGAGGTAGTTTATCGTTTCTACTTTTTGACAATTACAGGGTCTCCGAAACCTTCAAAACATCGAGTGAAGTCAAATTACATCAAATAATTTTGACATTTGTCTGTAAATATGTACATTAGATTACATTTTTTAAACAAAAACGGAATTCTTTGTTACTGTGGTATGTTTTTATTATTAAACTACGTATTTCAAATAAAGTCTTATTTTTACTTTCATAAAGTTATATTATTGAGAATCCTTAAGTGGTGGTATTCTCCATAACTCTCTCTGTGTTTTTCTCATTCTATAAAGTTGTAGCTAAGAGTAGATTAACCAGAGGCTATTTTGTGCACAGAAATTTTGAAAACAACTACAGATTAGTATACTTTGAAGAGTAGCAAGGTAGTTTGATGAGGTTATTTTTGTAGATGTTGTGCTAACTAAAAATAATGCATGGTGTTTAGTTATTGTGATGTCAGTAATCGTCTACGTCAGTTTTTCATCTAAAGTAGTTATTAGTATTCTCGAATGAACCTTTTATGTAAGATGTAATCATCGGAATGGGTAATGGTATATTATTGTGAATGTTACAGTAGGGGAACTGCTGCAGCAGTTAGATAGCATAAATCAGAGTTTATAATAACATTTTTAACACAGTGGGATCCAGATAATTTAATTCAAATACTCTTCATATTGAAAATGATCATCAGCAAAACTAGCAACTTTTTTCAAACAAATTTCCTATCAATAAAGGCGTAACAGACAGGAACTTGATTAGTAATATTTTGCGACCTTTCACTTATTCTTATCTCTTGAAGTAAACTAATTTGTCAACTTGTTAGATGGTTGCATGCAAGAAATGTAATTCACTCAGTACTATCTTAATAGCGAAGAGTAGACGTAGTCTTTCAGTGAACTGTTTCCGGTACAGATTTGAACCTGTTTCTCTAAGAACTGAAATCACAATACTTACCATTCAAATAATCAGCTGAAGAATGACTTTTTGGAACAGTAGGTCGCCCACATGACACTTATCTTCAGATCTTAGTATGCGTTCACATTTCAACCAAACTTTTTTTGAATTTCTACCGTGAATGTCAGTAGCGATTTAGTGCATTCACTTGTAAGAATTCCGAAGATTCCTAATTTTATTTTATTTTCCTCGCTATGATTAGCAAGTTAGTTTTGTGATTTCATGCTACGATAACATTTATATTTACATCGACTTTTGACACTGGTCATGGCTTCTGTAGCTTTTTATTATCTCAAAAATCATAAACACTAAAGATACCATCAATATGTACTCCTTTGCAACTATTATCTTTTGTGTCACTTGTAAGCAGATAAATGCGTGTATTTTTCAAGAATTTTTTTGTAGAATTATACTATTTTAACTTGTGCTTCATATGCTTGGACGCTCGATATTTGACCACTTGTCCATTGATTCGAGTTTCCCTTCAACTACTGGTTTAGTCGACCAAGTAGCGTTGCATGAAACTTCTTATGTTTGGTGTGGTCCAAAGCTAGCGCTTTTTATAAATCCATTTAAGCAATTATTATTTTAGTTATTAATGAGTGGAGTTATGGTTCATTGGTTTAGGGAGTTGACTTTCAGCTAGTGGCCCACGGGTTCGAACACCGCTCCACCTACCGAGGTTTGGTATGACAGGTAGTATCACTAGCCCTCACACAATGGGTGTGGCTCATTGTCTACTGCACGAATGTGCACAGGGTAGCTGAGTGCGCATCGTTATCGTACCTAAGTGGCAGGTGCTCACCATGAGACTTAACTGTTCTAGGTTAGATTGACACGAAATCTTTAGTAAAAACTACTGGGAGGTGGGAATAAAATAGGATATAACAGTTGTTTGATGCTGTATGTTTCATTGGTTTTTTAACCGCTGTCCATCCATGATGAAAACTGGATTCGATTTCCCCATAAAGCTCCCAAATGAATGAAATAATGACTGAACTGTTGCTGTAGTCAAGATAGTCTAAGTGGAATTTGGTTGTGCGGGATTTAAGAACACATTGAAAGAGAAATCAGAACTGCCTTTTAAGTAATTATCTGTATAGTTGAGTAGATAGGATTCATTTTTTCAATCATTGTATATACTGTGTCCTTCAATTATGTATGCTGCTTTCATGTCCGACAAAAAGATGTAGGAAATAACTTTTCTCCTAAACACTCCATAAGGTATAATTTTACAGCATCCAGCACATACCATTGTGTCTGGTGAATCATTCCATTGCATTCGTTGACCTCTAGGGGGTTGTACCACTTTTATACTGTCTAGCCCTAAGTACTTGCCGAATTCTATCGATCGTTTCTGCAATGTGGTCACCAGGCTAAAAAAACTCAGTGTCAAGGTGTATCTTGACTGATGTTAGGTGTTTAGAAGCAATTAACTACCTGAATCGGCTCGGAAAAGCAAACAAATCAGAAGTGTTTGGAAGTTTGTTTGTTCTAAATCCATCTAGAAAATCACACAGCTAGCACCGGAATAGCGCAGGTTAGAAGAGTGCTATTTTTTAGGTCGATCATTTTTACACACCTTCCTTTATCGAAGGCATCATCATGGATTCCAATCACTGCACGAGATCATACTGTTTTCGTACCCAGTACCACGTTTCGTCCTCAGGACTAGCTTAGCTGTCTCCACCATAACAGTAACTGCTTTTCGTCTCGGCAGTATCCAAAAGACATTTCAGCTGTGATAGACCTGAAGGGAACAAGCGTTCTTCTATTATATCTTGTTGGGTCACTGATATGCAAGCCTAACCACCACGTCAGGGTAGCAGCTATTGGTTGGGACCCGAACAACTCAGGGGTAACGTCTTTGATTGCAACTCCGGGTGGTGCGGTTCGAATCTCACACCGAACATCAGTCCTCCGATGTTGCGGATACGACACGCTGAGGAGCCCCAAATTCACGAAACCTAGGTCCAGAGCTCCTTACCGATTGCCTCCCACCATCTAACGTATTTCATACTCATTTTGTGAATTTTTTTATCACTTTGGCATAATAATACATACATTTTCTTTAGATTAATCCCAAATAGGAAATCCTTGCACCACGTATAAAAGCAAAATATCAGGGTCAGGTCATGAAATTCAACTACTCACTTCCCAACTCATTAAATTTTCTCACAAGATAGTAACTAGAGATACACTTGCCATTCCTGAAAGATCTGTACTGTAGATATGGTCTTAAAGAAAGCGTTAGTTTCCTAAAAGAAAAGATATGTATTGTCAACGATCTGGTCATAGATATAACAGTATGCTCAAGCCTTTACTATTTTACATCAAGTGACATCCGAATGCTTAGTCAGAACTGCTTCGCGCGTATCGTTTTGTCATAAATATATTTCGTTGCCTTTGGGGTTTATGACATCATTTGTTATTGCGTTAATCACTTCATAAGCATTGTAGATGAGACATAAAGAATAAGATTCAGAAGGCTGTCCTACTGATAACGTTAACTTTTATTGATCTAAATTTCTTGGAAATATGTCACATGTATCCAACTGAAGCTTAAAATAAGAAAATAACGTTAGTTGAGGTAGGACAGATTAAGAAGTCGGACCATTATATGCAGTCTGCAACTGCCAGTGTGAATCAAGGAGAGAAATACTGACTTTATGTCACATTCCTATTAAAACAGTAACCGATATTGACAAGATCCTTACCGACATAACACAAAATCGACTATTCACCGGTATCACCATGCAGCAGCAAATTTACCCATCAAATCAACCCAGGAGCCATCAAGATAAAATATGAACTCTAAGAAAGAAAAAACTGAAAGTCATGTGAAGGGGTAAAACAAAATCGAAATTCGATACGATGATATGTGGATGCATCCGCGATCGGTTCTGAACTATGCCACCTACAGTCTCCAACCACCAATTCCCGTTATCACATGGACCCCCAACTACCAAGTTTAAATATCAAATTCACAATCTTCATTAAGATATAAAACAAAGATTTCAGCGGAAAAAAAAATTCCTCTTTGCGAAGATTTTATTTTCAAAGGCTGTAACATCCTATTTATTCATAAGTGGACGAAGACAGGAACAAATTTGGTTGTGTTTAATTTTTGCAATCATTATTATGAGTGAGGATAATATTTCGTACGTCATCAAATCAGTTGGAGAATATAAGAGGCTAAAGGTCAGAACGTAAGATAGATAGGAAGTGGATGAGTACGGTGCGATTTCATTAACGTCTAGTTGAGTAAAGATTATGAGGAGTAAAGGGTGAATATCATTCAGACAAAATGTGATAGGGATCAAGAGAGGTGGGAATGTTGTGACAATAAAATTGAATGAAATAGAATTAAATAAAAATAAGGAAGAACTAGTTGTATGAAAGATGAGGTCACAATGGTAACCTGGTTCCAGGGTAGTAAAAGGCACTGTACAGAAACAGTTTGATCTCTATCACATCACATTTTGTCGGACTGGTATTCACATTTTTTTCTTCACTCTACTACATGTAAATGAAATCACATGAGATTCATTCACCTCCTACTATACGTCTCCTGTATTTCTCAACTGATTTGATGATACATGAGATTTTATACCCATTCAAAACAATGCTGAAGTGACTGAGTGGATAATAATAAATACGCGACGAGACACCTGGGCTGGACACGAATAGCGACTATTCTACCTCAGACCTGACACCACTGAGCCACGAAAATTAGACAAAGACCGGCCTGTGACTGTAGGGAAGACTTTATTAACAAAAGTGCATCGTTTACACAGTTTTCACCAACATATGAAACCAATAGATTAAAAGTTGGGTACTTATTTTGATTGCCAACCGCGGGAAAAAGTTGTCCAATGAGGTTTTTCCTGACCAAACTGTAGACCAAAAATAAGGTCGAAATCCATAACTTCTACCTTACTGGCTGGTGAGAGAATGTTCATTTTGATTTAGGCCGCTTCCTATCAAATGCACTTAACATTTTCACTTTTGAATATTAGACGCAAATTTTTTCCTGTCTGTCTACACTTATTATTAAACACGGAACCACAGCTTTTGTAAACGAAATCTTCGCAGAGAGGAATTTTCACCGTAATCTTTTTTTAAATATCTGTACACCATATAGGGACTTCAAGAACTGAGGCCATGTTTTAGTCTGACCGCCTTTTAACCTTTTTCCAGTCTAAACCTACTTTAGCTAATAATGTGTGACGGGGCAGACGATAGCTAAGCATACACAACACATCACCCACTTGAGTCGACAAAGGTTCATCAGTTGACTTTCTTCTACCTAAAACTCTACACTTCTATGTTACTGACATGGTAAGACTATGACATCCGGGGTCGGTACGAAGGTAACGGTGGTCGGATGCTGCAGATGGCGAAAGCCAATCGAACCATTTGTATCCGTGCAGGGATCTTGTGGGCCACTGGACCGCCAGAGCTGATTCGACTTTCCAGGTGAGTGAACGCCCCAACCACCTTACTGTCTACTGTTAGGCAAGGCACCGACGCAGAAGAGTCCTGGAGCAACAATTTTTACTTGTGTAAGGAAACACACCTGAAACATTCTCCAGCTGGCACTCAAGTGTCCAAAAGACTACATACCTTCAACTAACGTGACTATATCATCTGCATACTCCAGGTTTCTTACGAAAAATTCCAACCCTCGCACCACCAGACAAAGGAGGAAAAACCTCCATTGGCACATCTGTGTCGGGATGAGATATACCTGGACACCGCTCGACGTACGCAACCTCAGCTTCTGCAAAAGTTGGAGGTCCTATCTCTGTTGCATCCAAGATCTAAATGTATTGCGGAGTAGCAGCTGGAAGTCAGTCAAACTCTCTCGAAGTGTCCCATTCATCGTTTCAGTCGTCATTCCGAACGAATCTCAGACCTATCCTTCGCTTCAGGTTAACTAACCAGACTATTTTTCACGTTTCGTTGGTGATTTTCAAACAATGTCTGCTGTTACCTATCAACTCTGGCTTTCCCTTTACTTCTACTACTCGTAGTCGCTGAGTAGACCTCTTGTTAATATATACTTACACTTCGAACCATGCTGAAAGTCTGCAAGAATATATCCATGCACATTCGTCAGTTACGAATCCGCTGGGATGCACTGACCGTATATTGCCTTTTCGAGAGTCAGTTAAGTCTTAAAGACTGCTGTTCAACAAGCTCCACCTGGATGAGTCATACTGCCCTATCCCGATAACTGACGAATCAGTTTCTCATTAAAAGCAGTCCATTGTATTCTAGACATCAACATACACTCAGAATAGGCTTCTCATTGTATTTCTTTGACGTCCATTAAGGCGTAAACAGGTATTCTTGTGTGAAGTGGTTGGACATGTTCACTTCACTCACCTGGAAAGTCGAATCAGCTCTGGCGGTCCAGTGGCCCACAAGATCCCTGCACGGATACAAATGGTTCGATTGGCTTTCGCCATCTGCAGCATCCGACCACCGTTACCTTCGTACCGACCCCGGATGTCATAGTCTTACCATGTCAGTAACATAGAAGTGTAGAGTTTTAGGTAGAAGAAAGTCAACTGATGAACCTTTGTCGACTCAAGTGGGTGATGTGTTGTGTATGCTTAGCTATCGTCTGCCCCGTCACACATTATTAGCTAAAGTAGGTTTAGACTGGAAAAAGGTTAATGGAAGTCAGTCCTTGAAGTCTCTGAGTGTTGGCCTGAATCATGTAGACTTTGCAGTTGGGATCCATGTGAAAATGGAGTTTGGAGACTTTAGGTGGTATAGCTCAATTGGTCACAGATTCATCCACACATTACCATCATTCTTATCATGGTACCGAATTTCGATCTTGTTTTGCCCCTTATCACGACTTTCGATTTATTTCCACTACTTTCCTTCCCAAGTCTTTTTTCTGCCTTCGTGCCTGCAACCTTGATGCGTTTACAAAGGGTTGGAACATGCACTGAAGTAATGCTAGGTCCAAATCTGATTTTGACTGGCTGAGATATACCTACCTAGTAGTCGCTGCTTGTGTCGAAGTGTGATGCAGTTAGTAGTAGATGAACACTTGTCGACAAACATAAGAGGGATGAAAAACTACGCAAAAAAACTTATATTTAAGTAAATACAGTGTGTATTGACAAATTGCAGTTTATCGATAGTGAATCCTAACACAATGGATAGTCATTGCGTTAAAACAATCTAGGACTGCGGTTGTAGAAATCCGCTGTCAGTAAAACATGACAATCAAGCATAGTAATTTAGATTAGTGCGTTTCTTTGCTTGAACTTCCAATATGGCGTCCATGTAATCTTCATGTGTTACTTTTGGAGCTCCACGACGCAGTGCAATCATACCCTAAAGGGAATAATAATTTTTTTTAGTTATATAGCAATCCAGTAATTAGACCAATTATTCTTTAAGCATCTAATTGAATATCACCAATGTACAATATGTCTAAACTCCGGGGTCATTTGCAGTAGGGAGTGCTAAACGAAAATCACTTCGATACACTGCGATAAATTTCACGTGCAATCAACACTATATCCTTGAAAAATGTGTGTGACACAGTATCATTCTCGTGACTCTACGAGTATTGAGTTTGTCTGAAGAAACTTGGAGTATGCAGATGACATAGTTTCGTTAGTTGAAGACGCTGACAGACAGATAAAATCTATGTAGAACCTAGCACATAAGTCCATCCGTTCAAGTTGCCACAATTCAAAACATTAGGCAAAGAAAAAGTGGTTGGCAAAAGACTGATATCAAAGTAGACAAAGGTGTACGGGAGAAGGAATTTAAAAATGAGTGATAGTTATGAAACAAATTCTAGAAGACATCACACAGTGAATACATATGCGCCATCGTGACAGATTTTCAGCCGTGTCACCAAGAGTTATGGTATTGGGGAATCGTACAAGGCTCAGACCAACATTTAGAGACCTTATGGAATGGTCCCTCGTATTCGTCTGGCCATCGTGAGCCCCCTCTCAACGTAACCGGAATTCGCCCAGCATTGTATGTCGGGGTAAATGGCGAATTGATATGCACAAAGCAAGTCAGTCGCCAAAGGTTCACAACCTCATCGACTGACTTTCCCCCCTTGCATATCACTTTTCTCCGGACCTCGACACTCTTAACATGCTACTTCATATCTCCTATTTTTAATGGCCATGTCTCACAACAATATGAGAGAACAGAATGGACTGCAACGCAGTTTACCTGTCCCTGAATAGGTGCCCAAACAACACGCTAATTAGCAAATGCTAAATAGGCCTTTTCCTATTATTATCTGAAAGCCATAACTCACAGCCATAGAAAAGGGCAGAGTGGTGTGCGGCGCAATATAGTCTTTCTTTGATAGGTGGTTGAATACCTCGTCAGTCAGCGCCACAGATGAGGCAAGTTGGCTAATTCCAAACGGGCCTTCTGTGTCTAAGCTGAGATTTCGTCAGCAATTAGCCCATTCGAGCTGGTACAACTCTGCAGGCAAGTGAAGTGGTCAACGCATCCCACCACTTCATTCCCTACCGCTAAACTGGGAGTACAGGCAGAAGACCAATCCTGGGACATCTTACATTTAAAATGCATGCTAAACACATTCAGACTTCTGCTCAACGTGTACAGACCCTTCATTGTGTCAGCGTCTTCACCTAACAGGACAATATCGACTACATATTCCAGGGCGTAGGTCAATCCCAGTCAAGCCAAATGTACCTAAGGTTATGCCTATTCGTACGTCTATGATGAAGTTGAGTAGGAATGGTGAAAATGCGTACTTCTGACGGATACCACTAGTTGTCTTCAGTTCTGATGACAGCTCTTCATAACCCCTTACATGGCTGCCTGAGTACCAAAATAGAACTTTAATAAACATTATCTACTTGTTCGGCACTCCTTTCATAATCAGACACTGCCACTACAACTCATCATCAAAATCAACGTAGGACCAGACAGTACTGCATAACGGTCCGAGTTGCCACACCTCATATCAGTACATCAAATAAAAAGATAGTAAAGTAGGAGATGAAAAAAAGGAATATAGAGTACGAAAAGAGAGAAAGGAGGAATGAAAAAATAGTGAGATTCGGTATGTCGTTAAGATGAGGATAATGTGTGTATACATCCGCACCACTGACATAGGTTCTGAGCCATATCGCCTAGTCTCCAACTACTGGTTTCTCTTGTCCCGCTGACCACAATTGGGTAGTCTACACCGCCCCATATGGCTCAAATCAACAGTCAAACACTTCATACACTGGTACCATGTTTTAGTCTGGCCGCCTCGGGCTTTCCTCCAGCCTGAACCTACTTCGGCCAGCATTGTGTGACCAGACAGCGACTAGGCATAGGTAACACATGTCCCAGCCATCTTAGTCGATAAAGGTTCACAACCACATCAACTGACTTACCTCTCTTCTCTAAAACCCTACGCCTGACTGCCTTACTCACATGGTGACGCGACAGAATACGGTTTATACTACGAAGGAAATGGTGGTCAAACACCTGAAACCTCCTCATGTCTTTCACCTTGAATGGCCATGTTTCACAGCCATACAGTAGAACAGAGAGGACTGCTGTGCAGCACACGCGACCCTTAATAGACAAACGGATATCACAGTGGCGCCATAGGCGGCGTAAGTTGGCAAAAGCCAGTCGAGCCTTTTATATTCGTGCAGAGATTTCATCGGCAACTGACCCACCAGGGCTGATCCTACTTCCCAGGTAAGTGAAGTGGTCGACACACGCAACCACTCCACTCTCTATTGTTAGCCGCGACACCGCTGGAGACCAGTTCTGGAGCAATAATTTGTGTTTGGGTGGCGAGGAATGCATCCGAAACATTCTCAAATTGCCACTTAAGGTGTCCAGAAAAGTGGGCATCTTGTCGGTGTCTTCACCCAACAGGACTATGTCATCTGCGTATTCTAGGTCGACTGAAAATTCTCCTGTGATTAGGTCAACCTCTGTCTAATCAGGTGACGAGACCTTTATAAGGATATTCATGATAAAGGTGAATAAGAATGGAGAGGAAGCAGCTTTGATGAACACCGATCGACGAGCACAGTTCCGGAACATCTCACCATAGGCGCCAACACGCCCAAGTGTTCGAGTTGAGAGCCTTCAATAAGATGATGTACCTACTCGATGGATTCATTGATCATGCGACTACACTCTGCGAGATGCTTCAACATCGCCAGAAGTATTGCAGGTCAAAAATGGCTGTTTCTGACAATAGCGCTGCCATCAATTCGTTGAACAGAGCTTAACTCTGGAACTGTCTGATGGAGAGGGGCATGCCTGAGAAATTTCCTAACATCTTGAAATCCTCAAGTAGAGTGAAGGGATACAACCACCTGTTTCCGTTGTTTAAAAGCAGCAGTGGTACTAGGCAAGGTTGCCCGATTTCTCCATTCCTCTTTAACTTTGCCATTGATAACATTCTTGAGACAGCTCTGAAGGTGTGTAATGGTGTAGATCTACTATTCAGACAACAGCTGTTCAAATTTGAGTATGCGGACGATATGGTCTTACTGTGCGATAACACAGACTACTCGAGTCGCACTTAATCGATGATTAGTGTCCGTAAGTATGGTATGTGCTTTGCACCATCAAAGTGAAAAGTACTCTTGTAAGAATGACAGGAGCCTGTGTCTGTGCTCATCTTCTACGGTTAGCCGTTAGAAGTAGTTGAAAAGTTCGTGTATCTATGTAGTTGTGTGAGGCTGCTGGAGGTGTGAGCGGTGAAATTTCCAAGAACATATAGTGGCATAAGCCAATCTAGGCCACCTTTGGCGCAGTCGTGACATTCTTCTGGCCGTAAAAAGGTCGGGTTTACAACACTTCCGTGCGGCCAGTTCTACTCTTCGCCTGTGAAACTTGGCCTTTTCAAGCTGAAGATATGCGACGACTCATATCTAGTGGCAACACCATGTAAGTAATCCTGAGGTACGACAGCGTATGTTTAGGCATGAGGGAGATCATCATTCAACAAGTAGTCATCTGAAAACACGGGCTTCGGTGGCTTGGACATGTGTTACACATGTCATCCAAACGGCTTCTATGCCATCCACTGTTTGCTAACCCTGGGAATGGACGGGAGAAACGCAGTGGTTAGTGTATGATATGGTGCCGTGGGATGAGGGATAGTTGTATCGGGTTAGTATCTGTTGGTTCATCAAGACTCTGTTGGTGGGGTCGGAGAGATCACGCAACTCAGTGGCTTGAGACGTTATCAGATACGGCTCAGAATAGGAGTGGAGGTCACGATGTAGCTCCCTCCTATCTTATCCTATGCTGAAAAGTAATGAATGTTTTGTTTTGATTGTACCTAACTGAAATGCCCATCTAATCATTCTATTTTTATTTTTATCCACTTTCTTACGCTTTACGTCTTCATAATGTTGTTATATTATTTTGTGTGGCGCATTTCTTGGTGCCCTTGCTGTACCGTGTTTGTGTTCTATTAATTAATAATAATAATAATCAATACTGTTTATTAATAGGCGGTAGTCAGTTTGCTTGAAGGGTTTCCACCGGTGAAGACTTACAACTCTATCGATTGCAATATGTATCACATAGTGGATACTCTTCATCTTATTTCGACATTGCTGACAGGTTTTTCATTCGATGAAAATGATTTTCTGGAAAAACTTGTGGATAAACACTTAGTAACACAAGCAACATCTCATCAGCAAAATAGAGCCACACTAGTCCTTTATTACTTGCATACTTAAATATCAAAATGTGTGGCACCAAGCTTTTGAATGCTTTCAGTCACAATACTTGAGGACAGGTATTATGAAATAATAAAAAACTAATTTATACTCTGGCTTTTAGCAGCTTCTGAAAGCTCATGTCAGTTCGTGCAAAATGCGAACTACTAGAAGTACATCAATCTATGAGCAATAAATTATAAAAGTTATTGCTAAACGCAGAATAAATAACTCACTGCTTCCACACACACGGCCTTACACTGAGCGCCGTTAAAATCATCTGTACACCGAGCCAATTCCTCAAAGTTAACATCTTTGCTAAAATAAAGTATCAGTGAGTGGAAGTATACTACTTACTCTACATTCATTTTACGCGAATGAATTTGCATTATTCGGGCGCGCGCCTCTTCGTTTGGTGCAGGAAATTCGATTTTCCGATCAACACGACCACTTCTCAATAATGCTGGGTCCAGAATATCTACTCGATTTGTTGCTGCAATCACTTTGATATCATGGTTCGGTTGAAAACCATCAAGCTGATTTAAAAGTTCTAACATCGTTCTTTGTACTTCACGATCCCCTGCCTTTTCACTATTGAAGCGCTTTGTTCCTAAAAAATATGCAAATGGATTAATTGAGACGATAGTAGTTTTTTATTTTTAAGAAATTTCAATTATAAATAAGTGGGATAAAACTGGTGCGCTACTAGAAAATTCCAGCAAAGTCAAGATGTAAGATATAACTAAACGAAGTAGTTGTCAGTCTTTATTCAAAACAAGTAACAGTATGTCTTATACATGGACATGACAAGATTTACCAGAAACGAAATGTAGATTGCAGAAGGAATGTTTACTTATCATAGTTTAATATGTGCTAAAAGAATTTTTATACTATACTGCAGAAATATTGAAGATCATATCCGGTCATAAACCATGTTTACATGAGGCAGCTCCGAAAACAAACATCCCAAAACCACTCGTTTTGGTAAGGGAAGCCCTTTTATGATATATGAGGGCCTAGTCTTCCAGCTGTCTACGTTCCCAAAATTTGGTTTTATAGTTGAAATGAATTCAAGTGAAGCCCCTTAAGATGTATTTGTTACTAGATGCTATGATGAATTACTTATGCAACCACTGATAACCTCGCCACACCGGTCGAGGTCTGGGGAACCAAGTAGTACCATGATTACTTATATAATGTAGGTGGTTCACTGTCTACTGCAAGAATGTGCCTGTGATTGACGAGTCAACTTTAGACTCCTTCCTGTGGCCCAGCTAAAAGCAATAAAAAATATAAAAAAATGAAATGAGTATTGATGAATACATTAGCGACATTACCATCCGCATTTGAAGACGCAGTATTGGTACATCGCCTAAATGGTTACCAAAATACGTATTTAAGTGGTTTGAATAACTCTTATTAGTAGACTGATTCCGTAGAATGTGCAATTTAACAAATTTATGAAATGAATTTCATAGCAGTGGAAATGACACTGATCACTATGAATTGGTACTCTGAGAAACAACTACTCAACACTGTCATATCCAGTAAAATAAAGCTGGGGTATAAATATTGAGATTAGGCACTGTTCTATTTTAATATCACACACTTAATATCACATACAAGTAGGCTATTTGAATGAGTTGTTTACCGAACATCATCTATTTTCTCAGATCCCAATACTTTGCTTTTGAAGCTAATAATCCATACGCCCATAATACAATACATGTTTATTTCGTGGGTACCTGATACACCTACGGAGATGGTGACTATATTTAAGTCTATGAACAGAATGTATAACTGAATATAGCATTTGATCATGTCTATTTAAAGGTCCTGAGGGTATCTCATAGTGGATTGAAATGGATAGCCAAGAATATATAATCCTTCTCTATTATCTTATTAGTGACGCCGTAATAGTACTGTTCATAGGATTCTTCCTGCTACTTTTTGTTCTTGGATAAACAGACAGGAGGTATTTGAGTGATAATGCATTTCCAATGTCGCATTCCTTTACCTAGATTTCGTACCTTACGAGACAATCTTCGTGCCCTGTTACTGAAGCATTTGACTAGCCTGGCCTTTACTGATATCCGATTAGATGACCTAATATCTAAGTAACTATTGAAGTGGCGTTTTGTAGACATTAGTATCCAAACCTTTATATTTCCTTCGTTTGATTTTGCAACCCACCGTAGTTCACTTTCGTCACGACCTAGTTACTGTGTGAATAGTATCGTATCGAATAGTGGGTTTGTGAGTAACATGCGTCGATACAAGTTGATTTCAACACTAAACGTGTCGTCTGCATATCACCATAATTCGAGAGTACGGCTTAACTTCCCCAGGGCAATCCGTTTTCAACTGTCCACTAAACGTATATGCTGCGATTGGGGTTATTGATTCATATTACAAACCGGATTTGTTTGGGTTGGGGATTCAGAAACTCAAAACAGAACATTTAATTTCTAGTGTGCATTCATACAAACTACTGACACTTCAAGATGATTACAAAAATAAAGCGTAGTACGAATGTATGGCAGGGGTGAAACTGAATATTGAGAGTTTAATAAAAATATTCAAATTCCAAAGGACTCACCGATAGCATCCAGTTCATCAATAAAGATGATTGCTGGGGCCTTCTCCTTCGCCAATTGAAATGCATCTCTGACTAGCTTTGCCCCATCTCCGATAAACATTTGGACTAGCTGAGGACCAGCAAGTTTCAAAAAAGTTGACTTAGTTTGTGCTGCGCAGGCACGCGCCAGCAACGTTTTTCCTGTTCCTGGTGGACCATACAACAACACACCCTTTGGGGGTTGTATACCAATGGCTTCAAACCGGTCACGATGCGTCATAGGAAGGACTACAGCTTCGATTAGTTCCTTGAGAAGTTATAGCGAGTTCATGTATTACCTGTATCTGCTTATCTAAACCACCGATATCACTGTATCTCTCAGTAGGACGTTCATCAACCTCCATAGCTTTTACCCGGGAATCGAACTCGGGGGGAAGCTTCTCTAGTATTAGGTAAGAGTCTTTGTGTACACCAACTAAGTCTCCAGGTTTCAAATCTCAGGAGGCACAAGTCCGATGACTGGTAAGAAGTAAGTCTGCCTTGTGCTTGTCTTTATAACTGCACACTTCCCTTTGCGCTGAGAATCAAGATCAACATTTGCACCTTCTTCAACCTCATCTTCCAGAGGTTCTACATCTAACAACTAAAAGAATTAGTGGGAAATGAATGGTACTTCAACAACGGTGGCCACTAAATAAGGTAGAGCTTTGTTCAATTTGATTTTGCTTTTGCTATCTTTTACTTTAGCCTGCATCATTTTGATAACATGGTCAACGTGGTGCAATTCTGATTTCATAAACTGAATGGTTATCAAGATTTACATATATGACTTTTGCTTACGCGAATTTCAGCATCCAACAACCTTGCTCTACTCGTTAACTCTTCTGTTGACATACGCATAACTTCCTCCACCATAGCTTCCTACGTGATCACAGATGATGAATAAACGTAGAACTCACGTCCACGTCATCCCATATTGGTTTTTCGACTACTGACGACATGACAGCGCAAAGTACTTAAACTTGCTCGCTGAGTGAAGGTCGAGATTAATTTTCCTTAAGTGGCTTAATCAAACAGTCACAGATGCACGAGGCCATAGAGGTTATTGTGTAAAAGCATCGAACATTTTCTTATTTTTAGTATAAATTTATGAGGAGAAGGTTTTGCGTCTGCAATAGTCATTATTTTACGGACGTCTGTTTTCTGCGGCACTAACGTGATGATATAGGCAACACTTCATCCTACAGAAGTTGATATTTTGATGCGAAAGTCAACACTGTAGAACAGTGGACTTTGTTCTTGGTGTTTTGCGAGATGTTCCAAACTCGTTATAGAAAAAGAAGCTGGGTTAGGTCCGAAAGCATTGTTTAAAGTTCTGAACGACATACTGTGTTTCTTCTCTATCCTAGATACTGCGGAGGAAATAGGCTCAGACCTCTAGGCAGCCACTAAAGCGCTTGTTGCAAAAAGAGTAATTTTCCGCTTTCAGAAAAATTCTAGGCACTTTTATGTTTCTGCATTAAAGCCTGAGCGCCTCCAACCCAAACCAGCATAATCTTCCACGGAAATAAACTGTTTAGCCTATTTCTCAGCGGTTCTCAACTCGCAGTTTGAAGTACTTATTTTTCAGTGTAAACTTTTCTCAAATATGTTTTTACTGACATCCACTCCTCCAAAAATTATTTGTTTGGCTTTTCATCCCAGGCTACATCTTTTCGTAGTCTTATTTACATGTTGCCCCGTTTCAAGTCGCGTTTTATCCAAGCGTTTGCTAGAAGGTCAGTTAGAAGCATGGCAGAAGTGCTTGTAGTAGACTTGGACCCCTTTTCGATGGCCTCTTGTATAAGGTGCGGTGGATATAAAAAGTGATGCCATGATAACTGTACGAGCCTTACGCCTAAGGCATGCAAAAAGTATTATAAAAAAGAAAGCATGTGGCTGTCCCGTCAGACTGCTAAGGCGCCCCTCAGGCTTACTGGAGAACTCGAAGCGCTTCTCAAAACCATCATGAAGAACTTAGATCCTACAAATAAGCCTTTTACTGTGGCAGCGATGATTATAATTTCTCTGCCGACACACATTTCGCTGCGCAGCACCTAAAAATACTTTGTTCAGACAGAAAGTAGGGGGGTAAACTGCCACAGAAGTATGTTAATGGCGCTTCAGATGAAGCTATAAGGATCAAAAGGAAGTGAAATCCTCGGGTTATCACACCTTTACATGTATCGGATTCAGTCTTGAAACCATCGGTCACGAAATTAGGTCACATTCCTACGAATGGAAGTGGGCTACGGTGCAGTCGACTTCAAATGAGGAAGCTATCAAGAACCAGTTCCCCAAAATAAACGAAATAAATCAGCCCAAGAAGTGCGTGAGAAGAGGTGAAATTTCATTCCGTGATAAATGATGTCGCCAACTGTTATATCCTCCTAACGGATATAATACGCTCGCTTGACTGACGGCTAACTTCGTAAGCAGGAGCCACCGATCGCAACCCGGAATGGACAGAGAAGACCGAAGGTGGATGGGAGAGTTTATTCCTCCGAGTATAGTGGCAGCCAGTCGATCCAAAAACACGTGAATATGTACACACGTGAAATGTGACCTTGTCCGCAATTCGAGACATTGGTATGGTAAGAGTAAAGCTCAACTAATCAGCACACTCCATTGCAATGGGGGTAGAAAACGACTACTAGCCATGCTGTCAAAATGGCGTGAAAATGACAAGTTGAAAGTGTACACATCACCAACAACCTTTAGTGCATTATTTTTTCCTTGGAACAGTGGATTTCGCAGTTATGTCCTGATTTGTTTTGTTTATATCTGGAAAACAGTAGATGGTTTTTGAAATGATACAATTTATTTCATCTTCTTGTATGTGGTGCGACCAGTCTTCTCATGTGGCAGACAGAAGTATTCAATACCATAACCGTGATCTGCCGTGTTGTTGTTCCTGTTGCGGAAGCGTGACCCGCTTCTGAGATGGCTTGCGGTGAAATAAACTTGAACGTACCCGTGATCTACCCAAGTGGTAGATTAGCAAGCAGAGGTCCCAGTGTCATCCCGAGCGAAGAGTATATTATTTATAGGAGCCACAGAAGGAACAGACACGAATGTTGGAGATATGAAATGCTGCATCACTGGCTGATATGCAAGGGACAAGATGTTAACTTTCCCGTTGTATGTCGTAGCCCTGAATGTGGGGCGGGAGATCTCCTCTTGGATGAAGTGACCATCTGGGCGGATAAATACAGATGCCTGATTGCAGGAAACTTCAACCCGCCATCAATTTACGCAGAGGGACAATCAGCAGAGGCATGAAGCCACTTCATCGTTGGTCAACGGGGCATCCGTTTCCTTGGCCCTTATACGTATAAGCCAATACGATCATCGTCGTCTTCTATCAGCCCGGGCTTAGTCGTTTCTCACGAAGATGCTCTAAGTTTCACCAAACTCCCGCCATCCCTTAGCAATAGTGAACACTTTGTGTTCATGTCTAGACCTTCACCAGACGTCCTGTATCAGATAAAACTCTAGCTAGACCTATTCGTGGATGACAAACATAGCGGCTGTTAACTGTGGAACATCTTTGGAGTTCTGGACTCCTGATCAAAAAGCTTTCAATGAGGCTGAATGGTGCTTATAAAAACAGTTATGCACCTCGGTGACTGAAGCGTTTATCCTATGGACTGTTCTGAAAGAACGAAAACTCTGCCCTACCTGGATAAACTGCAAAATTAGATATTCACTGAAACGGAAGAAAAGCGTTACGTTCATTCACTCACTTTTGTGTTCACATGGTGAATAAATGTTACAAAGGACCCAGGGGTAAATATATCACCTACGTTTGTTGGTCCTTGTCAAGCTTTGAAACACCTCTCACCCAGGTTGTAGTAGCACACTCGAGGAGACTATCTTCCCACATGTGCTATGGGGAAGACACTCACCGTGTTGTCCTTGCCGTAATCAGAGAACCAAAACTAGCTTCTCTGTTGAAGGCCATAAGGCAGGATTGAGCTGCGGTCGGTTATTCATCCACAGCTTTTACCCAGGAACCGTTGGCGGACACGATTTTAGTGGTAGAGGTAAAGATAAATTCTATGGACACCAATAAAAATGATGCATCTAGTACACTGAATTCTCTTGGCGAGATTAGTTGTGCTCAAGGCTTTCAAAGGGCTTGCGCCGCACGTGACCGGCGAATTGGCTACCATATTTGGACTGACCCTGGTAAAGGAACGCTGTAAGGATGCTATTTTCACAATTCTCCACAAGGCAGGTTCTACGATCTACCTACTGAATCAGACACCGTTATCTTCGACTGGAACTGCAGTAAAAACCCTAAAAAGAGTAACTAACAGAGCCATCACTGCCCACCTAGAAAGTAGTGCTCTATTGTCCCGTTCACAAAGTGACTTTCATAGACTTCACCAATGCTTGACAAAACTTCTAACAATCGGGAAAGTTGGATTAATTTTTGGGGTGACTGGATGCCTATATGTGCCGTTTTCATAAACTTCGGTGAGAAGTTCGACGAAGTCTCTGACTTTAGGTCCCCACGAAAATGAAAAGCTTGGGAATCACTGGCCATCCAGTTGAATGGACTATAAGGCTCTCTATTGGTGCAAAAGTAAAAATCAAACCTTACATCTCTTTGGAGTCGGCACAGATATGAGTGCCTCAAGGCGTCGTCACGTGCTTCGGGCAAGAGGCATGAAACTCCCCCATGAACCTCTGCGCTGATGACACAAAAGTCAGATGAGAAACTGGGGAAGAAAGAGTCTTCGCGCACTTCCGAGGGACCTAAGTAGTCTTCGGATTTAGTTAGAGAAATGGCTGACGCCCATCATCACAAACGCATGAGCATAAAGGCAGAGACACCTATCATAAAAATCTCAGTTCAGGTGGATGCCTTCCGAAACAACCATTTTTAGGCCCAACAATTGAGCTTACTGCTCAGCATATCAGCCCTGGTGTTGAAAATAGGAAACTTGACCGGGTACCATATATGTCAGTCTAATGAAGGACTGAATAGTTAACCCAGAGTAGGTTGCCAACCATAAAACATCCCTGACTATGTACAGGCCTAAAGACAGATTTCTGCTAACATGTTTGGATCCACTGTGACAGAACTCTAACACCCCTTATTTTCCTTACGACAGGTCACTAGAAGTGGCCATGCGACGACTGAAGTAGTTAACAATCCAAGAAAGCAATTCAGCCGACCGGGTTAGTATAGCAAGACTGTGGGTAGGCAGTATTTCTCCCTACGTTCCACCAGAAAGACTATCAATGCAAGTTATAGGCAGGACTATGTCTGGGTTATAAGTGGTTTCAAGGCTGCTAGGGCAAGTAGAAGGGACACGACTGTGAACACAAGGGAAACTGTAACGAGCTTGGAAAACAACCCAAACAATGCACAGACCTACGACTTATCTCGAAACAGTCGAGCTGTAGGCCTGAACAGGTCGTGAGCTTCTCTGCATAATATCACCTGTCCATTGTCCCCATGTCGGTTCAAAAAACAAAAGCTTTAAAAACATCGCCTTGGTGTATAAGGGTCAAAAGAAATTTTCGTCCAGTTTGTCTAAATGCTTTTGTGTCGTGACCTTTCTTCTGCGTGAAGCCCCATCTCCTTGGTGAGTATTAGTCCTCCATCAGCTGATTCGATAATTCAGATCCACATGTACGTGCAAAATATGGATTTGATACTCAATGGGCGGCCTCGAACTCTGGTGGACAAATCACACGGTCACCAGATGATAAACCGCTACGCATGCTAAAAGTTCCTTTTTCTTGTAACGATGGCTATGTTAGTTTCAGATTTGATTTTGGAGCACAAACTGGGAATGCGCTGCGTCACCGAATTCGAAACAAATGTTCTCCTTTTTGCAACCCCGGAAAACCCAATAAGCCCCACAACTTCTGGAAAGGCACTGGATATTTCAGTCCGCCATCCTCGATAAACGCTAGAATGGTAATATGTAATCGCAATTTGAAA